TATATATATCTATATGTATTTTTTTTCCTTTTTGTCTTTTTTCGTGTCCGGCAACGGATCGCAACCCTCAGTGTCGCGCTCGTACCGGACCAGGACCGGCAACAGGATCGCAACCCTCGGTGTTGCTCCCACACCTCGCTCAGCCAGTGAGCGGGAACTGGTCTGTATGTGGGATCCGAACCCTCGGCAGGAGCACCACCATGCTCCCAAGTGGCGCACTGTAGCAGTGCACCACCGGGCCGGCCCCCAGTCTCTGGTTTTAAGAGACAGGGCCTCCATGGCCTTCCACGGCTCCCCATACCAGGGCAATGGTCTTTACCCTTAGGACTCAGGGCTAAATCTGACTCAGGGCTTTATTGACCAAGTTGGCTGTACTGCAGCCAAAAAGGCCTGGATCTGGGTTTGTTACTATCTCTGCCACTGGCCCACTTTGCCAGTGTGAAGGTGCAAAGCCTGTTTGTCCCCTGTCTGGGCCTCAGTTTTCCTATACATATAATGAGCAAGCTGAGTTTCACATTGCTAAGTTCACTTCCAACCATCTGTGACTCTATAGTTCTGTGCCCTGTAAGTTTGGTTCTTATTCTCACTTCAGGGCAGGCTGGAACACACTGGCCAAGCTTCATAGACATATATCTAGGTGATTCTACATGCTATGTGCAGGAGAACATTTTCTAGAAGCCACAGGTGCACCACATTCTATGCAGCCTGGAGGCTTTTAGCCCTTTCTCCCCTCTGGCTCTTCCCTAAGCTTCTCTCTGGTTTCCTACCTCTATGCCCCTATGGCCTCCTCCACCCCATCACCCCCACCCCGGCCCCTACCTGGTTATAGGTGCAGTTCTTTTTCTTGCATTTGCTGCACTGGAAGAGGTCAGTGGTGGTGCCACCAGTCTTGGCCATCTGGTGCTCACGGATGGCCTCCTGGGTCATGGCATTCCTCAACTCCCTCAGCTCATCACTGGCCATTTCCTGGAGAGAAATGAGTCTGCCCTTCAGGGCTGGGGAGTCCAAAGGGGCCATGCCACACTCCCAGTTTCTAGAGAGCCTGAACAGAGCAAGAGGGAATATGCTGAACTGAGTACAAGGAGCTGGAGTGAGGCCTGGACTCCTGGTCCTGCACCAGCTGGGAAAAGACTGTACCCAAACAGTCCCCATTCCACCCTGACTGGAAGGTCACACCTGGGGACTGTGGCTGGACCAAGGTCAGTCGGGCATGTACAGGAGAGCAGCAGGCAAATAGGCTCTGCCTCAGGATTAGCACTCTTATGTACATTTCCTCAGATCTGGTGCTCACCCTGCTTGCAAAGACCTTGGTCTCAGCCTTCCTGCTTGAGCTGACTTGACCACTGCCCACCTGATCTATGATATTCCCCTTATCCTTCCATCTGGGCTTGACCCAGTGCCTGTCTGAGCTGTGATCACTGCCAAGCCTAGTGGGAACCTTGGCTCACCTATGCATGACTTGCTGCTGCTACCTGCACCCCAGCAGGACCCTAAAGCTCCTGGGCTCGCACAACTAACTGCTCACCTGTGAACATGCATCACAGAACACCTTTTTCTAAGTTCCTGCAGAACAGTCTCCTGTCTCCCACATGGAAGACATTCAGTGTCTGCATTATCCAGGCTCTTCCCTTCTGTATCCATCTCCCTGGCTATTTGATCCCCCTTAAACCTCTGCCAGAGGAGAGTAGATAGGAGGACACTAAAACGGGAGAGCTCTAGTTAAGAAGGGTTGGTTTGGGGGAAAGGAAGATGTTTGAAGCTAATGTTAAAATGAGGATTTTGTGGGCTGGCCCGTGGCTCATGGGAGAGTATGATGCCAATAACACCAAGGCCGCGGGTTCAGATCCCCGTACAGGGATGGCCGGTTAGCTCACTTGGGAGAGCGTGGTGCTGACAACACCAAGTCAAGGGTTAAGATCCCCTTCAATGGTGAAAAACGTCAAGAACAGAGAGTCATGGACTAATTGACCACACAACAGATATAATCACCAGAAAGATTTGGCTGATGACTGAGTTTTATTTAACCTTGTAGATTATTAATTTTATGAGAACTGATGTAATTTTAAGAAAAGTTTCCATTTAACTATTGATTTAATAATTTTAAAGGTTTATGTAGTTAAAATGCCCACATTAACCCGCCCGTGTTGTGTAACAAATAAAAATGCTGTTTCCAGTCTGAAGGTTGCTTCAGCTGCTTTAGCTGCTCTGGCTGCAACAGCGCTGACAGCCCGCAGGCTGAGAACATGCTTCAGAGGAACCGAGGTCTCTGCCTGTTTTTTATTTTCACAGCTTCCTCATCCCTTTTTCAAGGACCCCCAACTAGACTGGAGCTGGTCTCCGGCATGGGGGAGAGATGGCCTGAATGAAATGAGGGTTTAGGATGATGGCAGGGCAGAGGGCAGGGCCTCCAGGAGCAGGGGTGATAAGAGATGCTGCTGGGGAGGTAAGCCAGGCCCCAGCAGGCAGGGCTTTTATCCCCCCAGTTCTTATTATTCTGTAGCTACTATTTGGGTCCTGAGTCTTCTTTCTTTTTTTCTTTTTTTTTTTTTAAAAGATGACCGGTAAGGGGATCTCAACCCTTGACTTGGTGTTGTCAGCACCACGCTCAGCCAGTGAGCGAACCGGCCATCCCTATGTGGGATCCGAACCCGGGGCCTTGGTGTTATCAGCACCGCACTCTCCCGAGTGAGCCACGGGCCGGCCCCTTACTGGTCATCTTTAAAAAAAAGAAAAATGAGGATTTTGTGGTGGCTAAACATTTTAATTATTGCTATTGATCCTGACTCCTTAAACCATGGAGAACAGAGTTGGCATAAAGGTCAAATGGTTTTATTGTGCCGACCCTGAATGATAACCACTTGAGCTTCTTGATAAAATGCAGATTCCTATGGATCTGAAACACTAAGGGCAGGCCCAAGAATATGAACTTTTACTACTGTCCCCAAGCTATTCTTGTGCACACTAATGTTTAAGTCCTACTGTGTTAAATTCAGGAGCTAGGTCATAACCAATGGCAAGAATATATAGAAAAATAAGTCAACACAGGGTTGTATAAGTAAAAAACAGCTGACTTTAATTTGGGGGGGATTTTCCAGAGCACAATGCATTTGCTCATTCAAAATTTATTGGATGCCAATTTATTAAATGTCTTTAACTGTATCTGCATGCTTGTAAACTGGCTTTGGCCTTGGTGGTGTCTGACTCATAGCATTTGTCAACTTACGTGGTATAAATTTCCCACCATGGCCAATTTCAACTACTAATGTGATATAACTGAATGCAGAGTTGGGAAGGGCTACACATAATCAGCTCTCTTGAGCTGGTAGAAGCTGGCACACCACCATCTCTGAGTTCTAAGGATTCAGATATGAGGATTTAGTTCCTGCCCCCAGGTAATGCTAAGCTGGTAGGGTAGCCAATCATTTACATGAGACGGAAGTACTAAAGCAAAGGTACAAAAAGTGCAGGGGGAAGCAGAGCCTGGCAGCTAACTGCTTGGGGTAGGGTTGGGTCATGAAGAAGCTGATGCCTTAACCAGTCTTGAAATACAAGAGTTCCCAAGGTAGGGTGGCCCATTCCAGACAAATAGGATAGTAGACACAAAAGATCATAGGTAACATTGGTCCAACTGTGCCAAGTGCCCCATTTTATCCTAAAGTCAGTCTCTTTGTTGTTTTGGGTACTTGAGAAAAACAGTGAACCCTCTCCTCAGAAAAATGTCCATACACTCACTACATAACACACATATGTACATACACCACACATACACTAACCACTCACCAAACACATTCCACAATCACCAACACTACATATACACACACTCCACACATCGTATACACCACACACATATACTAAACACAAAACACTCTCCACACATTACACACACCCACTATATACCCGAGCCTCACCCAGACTCCAGGACCCCAACCCATTTCCACTCCACTTCTCTGGGCCACTTCAGCTCTTTGGTCTCTGGGTGCTTGCAGGAAATCCCCTCAGTTAGTTCTGGCAGTAAAGAGCCACCCGTGGGCTGGCTTGTGGCTCACTCGGGAGAGTGCGGTGCCTGATAACACCAAGGCCACGGGTTCGGATCCCATATAGGGATGGCCGGTTAGCTCACTGGGTGAGCATGGTGCTGACAACACCAAGTCAGGGGTTAAGATCCCCTTACCTGCCATCTTTTAAAAAAAAGAGCCACCCGTACCTGAGGGTGTGCAAAAGGTCTTTCCAAGATGTAGGTTCTGAAATGAACAGTTCTGGGATCAAGTCCTCATCTGTCACTTACTTGTTGTGTGTGGCCTCAGTCTTCTCATCTAGAAAATAGGGATATTTCCTCTTTCATAGCATTGTGATGAGGGTTACATAAAATGATTGGTGAACGAGCCTGTCATGTACTAACTCTGGGGAGGGCTTTATGTGTATCAACCTTCTACACACTTCACTACACTTCACCTATGTTAATGCATTTAATCCTCCATGAGGTAGCTAGTATTATTATCCTTGTTTTACAGATGAGGAAACTGAAGCACAGAGAAGTTAAGTGGCTTGTCCAAGATCACACAGCTAAGTGGCAGAGGCGAAATTCAAACTCAGGCAGTGTGGCACAGCTCCTGAGCGCCTACCTACCATACCATTCTTCATACTTCATATAGGGGTGTTCACTTTTCCTTTCCCTATTGTACCCTCTAAGTTGGGTCAATGCTTCCCTCCTATAAGTCCCTACAGTGGCTCTATCAGGGCACTTACCATTCTGTATTATTCATATTTGTTACAAGGCTCTGCTCTAACCAGCTGAGCTAACTGGCCAGCCCTGTATTATATATATTTGTAAATGTGTCTGTCTCCCCACCTTGGACTCCTGTTCTGGCCTAGTCCCAAAGCTGGATACTGGTATACAGGACTGAATAGGAGAAGAGGGACACATAAAGTAGCGAAGAGCAGCTCCTCTGGGGCCGGAGAGCATGCTTGCTGGCTTCGATACTTTCTGGCTGTGTGCATGGGCAAATCAGTTCCCTCCTCTGGGCCTCAGTATCCTTGTCTGTAAAATGGGGATTTCTATCTCGTTTGGTGTGAAGATAAAATTGGCCAGTGTGTTTCAAATGTTTAGCACAGCACTTGGTACATATTAGCTGTGTTTAACTGTCCTGATGACCCAGAAGCCCGTGGGGAGGCTGAGATGGTTCCGGTTGAAAAGCCTTCTGGCTCATCTCTGCTGAGTCACAAACCACTGCCTCTCAGATCTGGGCAAAGCTAAACGGGCCTGGCCCTTCCCTCACCTCTGCTGTCATCTTGGCAATGAGCCCTGCTGAGATGGCTCCGCTGAGTACGTTCCGCCTCAGGCCAGGGTTCCTGGGGTCCTTGAGGTTGCTGATCCGGCTGCGCACACGGTTCCGGTACTTCATGTCCGTGCTCTTGAGCTCCTGGTAGATATGTAACATGGTTAAGGGCCAGCCAGCCACTTGTGGAGGGGCACAGAAGGATGTGAGCCTCGCCCTGAAGCCTGAGGAGCCCCAGGGCCATCTCTTCCTCTCTTTGGACTGCTACAGGGGTCAGGTACATTTGTGGCCTCTTACTCTCCAAGTGGGGGTCTCACTTGGGCATTTGGGGTTAACCAAGTATCAGAGACAAAAAACAGCTTCCAAAGTGAGATCAGACCACAGCAAGCACAATGGTGTCAGGGACCCTGGGAACAGACACTCTGGATTTATCTGAGCCTCTTGTGTCACCTCAGGTGAGTCACATGACTTCTCTGTGCCTCAGTTTCCTTACTTATAAAATACAGGGCTGTTGCAAGGATTCAAGGAGCTAAGCCACATGATGCACTTGCATGGTGTCTGGGACATATGAGTGTTCAACATTTATGGTCTAAGATGACGATGACGACAATGATGAAGATAAACTCTAGTTTGTAAGGGCCCTTGGAGGTTGTGAGTCCAACTGTCAGAGGAAAAGATGTTTAAGGCTCTAAGAAGTATCGCAATAAAGAAATCGTTGAGCTTTGTTTAATCTGATGTTGTCAACATATTCGATCACAGAACCTCTCCCACCCTCCTTTTCCCTAGTTATACCTATTACCAACCCATGGAATCCACTTTGGGAATTGCTGGTCAGAGTTACTATGTCTCCCATTAATAGGTGAGGAAGCTGAGGGTTAGAAAGGGTGTGGGCCCTTGCTCAAGGTCACAGGGCAAATTCCTGGCAGAGACAGGGCTGGAAGCCAGACCCCGTCCTAACAGTAATGCTCTCTCCACTCACCCGGCAGGAAATCACCCCTGGCCACTGACCACAGTGAGTTTCTGTCCAAATACTGCATCCCAGACAGGCCTCCCACCCCCTCCGCCCTGTGGAGGAGCTCAGGGAACACAGCCTCATTTTCTTGGTCTCCTGAGCCAAGTGGGATCAGGAAGACAAAGCTGTTGCTGGGAAAAACCAAGTGCAAGACAGAGACTGCGGGGAATGTGAGAAAATGGGAACAGCTGACTTGCTAGAAGTGGTGGGAGGGCAGGTGGTATTATTTCTTTTTTCTGTTGTTGTTTGTATAACAAAAGTGTGAAAAGAAAAGAATATGCCACAATGCACTTGAAAGCCAAAAACTGTGTTAAAAATCTGCCATTTGGGATTCCTGGTATGAGGGGACAGCATTGCTGGCGATACTTTCATCAGCCTCTTCCTGACTCCTTCATTTGCCAAGACCTCAGGAGAGAACGAGGTGGAGAGCAGACCCAGGGTCACTGGTCCCCCGGAGGAGCACACGCAGGCCCCACAGCTGCCATGTAAATCCAGGGTTGCTCCAAAGAGGCCAGATCTTTTTTAGGACACTGAGCAGTCAAGCCCCCAAGTTTGTCTTCTCCCTGACCTCCCACCAGCTAAGAGGAAAGAGCTAAAGGGCTTGCTGCAGCTTTGATTTCCTCTCCTTTAGAAAAGGGAGTTCGGTGGAGGCAGCAAATGAGGAGGGGAGGCCGGGAGGGGAATAGGCACTGGGCCATCCACTTTTGCTTCAAACTGGGTTTGAGGGTGGAAGGAACCTGCTTGGAGGGACAACTATTCCAGAGAAAATGAAGATAAAGTTCATAGTCGTCCTGATACTTCGTGCTCTGTGTTCTAGAATTAACAGGAAATTATGAAAACATACTTGTTGAGGTATTGGATGCTTCAAGACTTGTTGAGGTACTGCTGGTTAAGCATTAAATGATGGTAGAGGGAAACTACCAGAATATATGTTGGGGAGTATCAGGGTGGGCCTTAGGCAGGAGATGGAAGCAGGCAACTTAGTTATCTGCGGATTGGCCCCTGGCCCTCCCAATGGACCCCCAGGTAAGCTCTCCAAGTAGAGCCCAGGAAGCCTCAAAAGGGTCACTTGCCCCTCAGTATGACACTTAGACTCCCTCTCCCCTCCCCTGTCCCCTCCAATGCACCCCTTTATCTTTGACATGCAAACCTTTGTCTCCAGTAAAAGAAATTCCATGCATTCATTTAGCAAGGGCAAAGTGGGGAGGAATTTTTTTCCTCCAAGCCAAAAATCTTTCAGTGCAATAAACCCATATCACAGCGGTGGTCCCCTTCTCTGTCTGCGCAAGGCCCCTTTCAGATGGGAAGTGGGGGAATGGGGTATATGAAGAGTTCAGTATGTGGAATCCAAAGAACAAGGTTTTCAGTCCAGCTCTGACATCCACTAGTTCCCGAGCCTCAGTTTCCTTATCTGTAAAATGGCAACAACAGCCCCTGCCTCACAGAGATTGTTGTGAGCTGAGGGCGGAAATGGCAACTGCCCAGCACAGTGACTGGTACACATGAGGGAGTCAGAATGGGAGCTGTTACCTTCAAGGATAGAAGCAGGGAGGCTGAACATGAGAAATGCCATCCTCTCTGTCTGCTCTGATCCAGGAGGTGACAACTTGACCAACCGAGGCATGTTATGGCACAGCCGGTCTAGCACAGAAGTTGAGCCCTCAGGTTCTAAGTCACACTTCCTGGGTTCAAATGCCAACTCTGCCACTGCTGTTAGTTGCATGAGCTTTGGCCAGTGACTTAACCTCTCTGAGCCTCAGTTACCTCTCACCTGTAAAACGGAATAAATCAGAGAACCTACCTTGTGGTGGTGTTTCAATCTGAATGAGGTACTACTTGCAAACAGCTTAACGAGGGGCTGGCAGGTGCAAAATTTAATAATAAATGTTAGCTAGCATTAAGAGCTCTGGTTCAGGGGCAGAGCAGGGGTCTGTTCCCAGAGTCCTTCCCCCACCCCCTCACTGTCCCAGGTCCCTTGCATGTAGGAGGCCTGCTGCTAGACAGTCCAGACACGTACAGCCCCAGCACGGTTCAAGGATATGATCTTCGATTTCTGATGCCATCTTGTCACAGTTGACACCATAGTCCTTGTAATCATCTAAAAGAGATTCAAGAAATACAGACATTAGCCAGAGCCTTGGCAGTGAAGCCTGCTTGTGCCAGGGACTACGGCGGTCCTGTGTTGTTACAGGGTGCTAGGAAAGACTGAATCTCACCTGCCCTTGAGAACCCCTTTCCCTCCCCCATCCCTGGCCGAGGCCTTCTCACCGTCTGCCTTCAGGGCCGCTGACAGCATCTCCACACACTTGTCCCGGACAGAGTCCCCTGTGAGATAGCAGGGAGCCAGGAGGCAGATAGAGGGGGCAAACGTGGGAGTCAAGGGGCTGCTGGGTGTTTTGGGGGTCTCCACTTTCGATTTGCTGCTGTTTGATCTGAGGATGAAAATCAGTAATAGACATTTTGACATTAAGAAAAAAAAACATTTATTGAGTACCATTCTACTTTTTACAGATGATCTCCTTTAATCCTCATAACCCTGTGGGGCATGTACTATTTTAGGCACTTGACATGGATCAACTCATTTAATCCTCATAACAATCCCATGAGGTTGATACTATTCTTATCCCCATTTTAGAGTGTATTTTAAAGTGCATTTTAGAGAAAAATGCATTTGAAGATGCACGTGACTCAGGTCACACATCTGAAACTAGTAGAAACAGAATTCAAACCCAAGCAGTTGAACTCCGGTGCCCTAGCTCTTAACCAACCACTGTGCTCCACTTTTTAACGAATAGTGTTGCAACACCAATAATTACGCTACAGTCTACTGTGCACTGTGCTAGCTGCTCTCTATAGAAACTCTCATAAATATATGAACCATTTATTCACTCATTCAAAAAATATCTATTAGGCACCTATTCTCCAGGTACCATGCCAAGGACAAGGGATAAAGCAGACACATCAGAAAAGCTCCCTGCCTGGGCCGGCCCATGGCTCACTCGGGAGAGTGTGGTGCTGATAACACCAAGGCCACGGGTTCGGATCCCTATATAGGGATGGCCGGTTCGCTCACTGGCTGAGCGTGGTGCTGACAACACCAAGTCAAGGGTTAAGATCCCCTTACTGGTCATCTTTAAAAAAGAAAAAAAGAAAAGCTCCCTCCCTCAAGGAGCTTACAGTCTAGTGAATAGTGACTATCTACCACCATTTAAGAGGGCTGGCATTTACAAGATGCCAGAACTGTACCAGGCACTTTACAAGCACTTTCTAACTTAATCTCAGGAGATAGATATTCTCATCACCCCCATTTACAGATGAGAAAACAAACCTCGAGAGTTACACCACTGAGATTTGCCTAAGGTTATACAGCACTGAGATTTGAACCCAGCTCTATCTGATTCTAATGCCCATGCCCTTAACTCTATGATATACTGTCCAACAATGATCCCATCTTGGTTTGGGTTTTAAAAAACACAAATATGTATGTATTTTGAGCAGATGATTGGCTTGCCACGAGTCTTAGCTTGGGCTGCCATAACAAAATATCACAGACTGGGTAGCTTCAACAACAGAAATTTATTTCTTACAGTTCTGGAGGGTGGGAAGCCCAAGATCAAGGTGCCAGTCAATTCAGTTTCTGGTGAGGGCTCTCTTCCTGGCTTGCAAATGGCCACCTTCTAGCTGTCTTCACATGGGGAGAGTGATCAAGCTCTCTGGTATCTCTTCTTACAGGGACACTAATCCTATTGGATCAGGGCTCCACACTTATGACTTCATTTAACCTTAATTACCTCCATAAAGGCCCTATCTCCAAATAGTCACATTGGGGTTTGGGGCTTCAACATATGAATTTTGGGAGGTCACAAACATTCGGTCCATAACACCATATTGACAGCAATGATCTTTCTGAGATGGGATTATAGGAGATTTTCATTTTCTTCTTTTGCTTATGCTTGTGTTCTAAATCTTCCATGAAGAATATATCTACTTCTGTAATGAGAAAGACTTTTTAACATTTGATGGTCACGAGTGTTCGCTCTGTGCCGATGGTCAAACAGGCTTCCTGTCCTGCTGTTCTCAAGGAGTTGCTGGCAAATGGTGGAAGCAACCCAAATATCCACTGACAATGGATAAACAAAGTGTGGTGTATACATGCAATGGTCTATCGCTCAGCCATAAAAAGGAATGAAATTCTGACACATACTGCAACATGGATGAACTATGAAGACATTATGATAAGCGAAATAAGCCAGACATGAAATGACAAATATTATATGATTCCACGTATATGAAGTATCTAGAATAGTCAGATTCAGAGAGACAGAAAGTAGAGTGGCAGTTGTCAAGGGCTGGGATGAGGGGGGAATGGGGAGCAGCTGTTTAATGAATAAAGAGTTTCAGTTCGGGAAGATGAAAAAAGTTCTGGAGATGGCAGGTGATGATGGTTGTGCAACCACACGCATGTACTTCAAGCCACTGAACCATACACTTGATGGTTAAAATGGGTAAATGTTATGTTATATATTTTAACACAAGAAAAAAATCTATATAGTAAGTTCAATAAATAAGAGTAGCAAGGAAACCTGATATATACAATAATAACTAATTTGTTCTAGTGTATATATTTGGGAAATCTTAATCCACTTGAAATGATAAAGTAACTCATTTTACTCATGCTGAAAAAAAGGTTAAAATGGCTAATTTTGTTAAATATATTCTCCTACAATAAAAAAGGAAAAAAAAGTACAACCAATAAAACCAGTCTGAATCTCAGACTCCAAATATCGTTGGTCCTTCTTGGGTCCTGGTGCAGAGGGTGCTGGTGATAGAGCAAGAGGCATTGCCCAGTGTCCCTGTGGTTGCCTGTGCCAATCAGCTTCATGGTGCCATGCATAACCAGTGGCTTAAGAAAGCTTAAACAGGTCATGCTACGGTGCAATTCTGCCCCCCAAATTCAGCAAGGGATGGCGAGTAGGAGTTGGCCATTCAGGGGAGGGGACAGGATAATACATTCTTGGCGGAGATCCATGGAAGCATGGAAGTCCATGGTTTGCATGGGCAATGTTCAGCTCAGGGGCAGCTGAAGCGTGAGGGTGAGGGAACTGATGGAGGGAAAGGGAGTTGGAGAGAAAGGATCTGGCCAGACTCTGGGGCGTGTTAAGGATGGTAATAACAAAAGCCACCATTTACCGAGTGCTTATGATTTATTCTTCTCAGTAACCCTGGAAGTCACAAGTTACCGGCCCTGTTTTACACATGAGGGAATGGAGCCTTGGACAAGTGAAGTGACTGTGATAGCTGCCCAACTCCCTCTCTTTCAGAGTGTTTCTGCACTATTCTTGGGCGGCCACACAGTCAGGAGGTCTCTGCCTTTATCCCTGAAGCTCTTCCCATCTGCTTTCACTAACCACCTGGACCTGCCTGCCCCCTGCTTCTTTCGCTAACCATCCAGCCCGCTGCTCGCTCAGGATAAACTGATTCATCAGAGTTGAAAAATTTGAGGGGCCGGCCCGTGGCTCACTCGGGAGAGTGCGGTGCTGATACCACCAAGGCCCCGGGTTCGGATCCTATATAGGGATGGTCGGTTTGCTCACCGGCTGAGCGTGGTGCTGACAACCCCAAGTCAAGGGTTAAGATCCCCTTACCGGTCATCTTTTGAAAAAAAAAAAAAAAAAGAGTTGAAAAATTTGAGGGGCCGGCCCGTGGCTCACTCGGGAGAGTGCGGTGCTGATACCACCAAGGCCCCGGGTTCGGATCCTATATAGGGATGGTCGGTTTGCTCACCGGCTGAGCGTGGTGCTGACAACCCCAAGTCAAGGGTTAAGATCCCCTTACCGGTCATCTTTTGAAAAAAAAAAAAAAAAAAGAGTTGAAAAATTTGAGTTCCCTCTTTCACTCCAGGGTCTTACCATACCTAACTCTTGTGGAAGGGCTCAAAGGGCTGCTGTGTTTTCTTTCTTTTTTCTTTTCTTTTCTTTTTTTTTTTGGCGGCTGGCCGGTATGGGGATCTAAACCCTTAACCCTGAAGTTATAAGCACCACACTCCACCAAGTGAGCTAACCGACCAACTCCCCACCCCACCTCTGCCTTTTTTGTTTTTGTTGTTGGGCTGCTGTGTTTTCTAAGTCCAGGGGGCGCTATTCACACTATTACCAGGGTACCTCCTGGAGTTGCACAGTGCACAGCCTGGGCAGCTGCACCAGGCAGCCCTGGGGCCTGGATCTGCAGCTGCTTCTCATGTTCACTTTTAGGCTATGGATGCACTTCTTCCCTTCAGGAAGAAGAGGATGCTGCCCTTCTGACAAGGTCTTTTAGGACTAAGGAGGTGTATCTGAAAGTGAGGCTGACAGAGTAGCCCAGGCCTCCCAGAATGAAAAACCTGAGGTTATGAGAGAATCCCATCTGACATTCTGCTGAGCACTCCTCAGTGTGGACTCTGCTGGTGACCTCCTTGTCCCCCAACTCTTGCTGTTTGGCCTGACCTCAGATCCTCTCTGTCATCACAGACCCCTGGACCACTGGGATTTTTGTGTTCTCTGGAGCCCTGAGGTCCTTCAACGGTGTCTCCATGCAGCTACATGGGGGAGGTGGACTGGGGATGGTGGGCTTGGCTCTTATAAGGTTTACATTTTGAATTTTTAAAAAATTTGTCCTTGGGCCGGCCCAGTGGCGCACTCGGTAGAGTGTGGCGCTTGGGAGTGTGGTGGCGCTCCCGCCGAGGGTTCGGATCCCATATAGAGACCGGTCCGCTCACTGGTTGAGCGCGGTGCGGGTGCGACACCGAGGGTTGCGATCCCATTACCGGTCACGAAAAAAGACAAAAAAAAGGAAAAAAAAAATTTGTCCAAAAGGAGTATTTACTTTTTATTTATTTATTTTTAATGCAGTTTGAAATTTATTGTTCTAGATTAATTTACTTGTCCAAAAGGAGTCTTTACTTTTTATTTATTTATTTTTAATGCAGTTTGAAATTTATTGTTCTAGATTAATTTACTCCTGATTCCACCCAACCCTGCCTGACAACTGGGTGTCCTGGCAGCAGGGCAGAAGTATCGGGAAGTTGAGATCCAACTGGATCTCTCTGGAGTTCTCCACTTGATTTCAGCAGGAGGGGAAGGTTTGGGTGAGGAAAGGCTGGGAAGGGTATGCACTAGGGGCTGCTACAACCAAAATGGATCTCCCTGCCCCAACCCTGGTCCTGGCCACTGGGCTCTTGCCTGCTTAGTCACAGAAGCCCCAAAGCTGGTTTCCTGTGTCTTCTTGCCCCCCTTACGATCCATTTATCATACAGCAGCCAGAGGGGACTTTCAAAAATTCACAGCTGACCAAGTCACTCCCCTGCTTCTGGCTCTCTAACAACTTCCAATTATTTTCAGCATAAAGTCAAACTCCTCACTACGGCTTTCCAGCCCCTCCACGTCTGACCCCTGCT